GGCGGCGGTGGCGGCTCCGTCGCGTTCGTTGCTGCTTCTGAGGGGGTTGGCGGGGGCCGCGGGGCAGCAAGAGTCCATTGAGGCCGCCGCCGCCGCGCCGCGCCGGTGGTTCTTGCTGGCGGCGTACTCGAGGGCCGACTTGTTGTACCGATTCCGGCGGTGGCGGCGGCGGAGCAGCAGGAAGGCGGCGCCGCAGATGGCACCGAGACCGATGAGCACGCAGAGCACGATGACGGCGATGAGAGCGCCGCTGGACAGCCCCACGCTGCGGGACTTGCTGGGCTTGTTGGGGTTGAGGATGCCAATGGTGCTATTGGCGAAGAGCGTGTCGTTGAGCGCGAGGCGGCCGTGGGCGCCGGCACGCTGCTCGCAGCCTGCTTCCAAGGCGACAAAGTCTGCGCGGCGGCTCGTGTCAGTATACCGTGTACATTTGACGAGGGGTTACATAGGGGGACGTACAGTTGGCTACGTAGCCGTGCTCCTTGTCCGGACGCAGGCAGTCGAGGCACTTGCCAAACGTGTCGCCGAGGGCCGAGCCGCCTTTGTAGTTGCAGTACGCGTACGGGTCGCCGCCCGTGTTGTTGGCGAGGCTCTTGGAGACGGTGGTCTTGAGCGGCCCGCAGGCCTCGCTCGTCATGCACGGGTACGGACCGATGCCGACGCTGCCGTTGGGGTAGTCAAAGACGCAGTGGGCAAAGCTGTACTGGAGGTTGTCTGTGGGAAGCAAGTCAGTTACAAAGGACACGGTGAATGAAGCGAGAGAGAGAGAGAGAGATCGAGACTTACACATGAACCAAGCTTGGTCGTTTTGGGAATCAGTCGTGTAGGTGCTGTTTTGGAGGCAGTTCATGCAGCTTTGGAAACGCTGGCCCTTTTCGCTGCTCAGGTCGCGGTTGTTGCAGATAATGTCGTTGGGGTGCATGTTGGGCATGCTGGAATCGACCATGCCGCTGGTTGAGGGATCCAGGCAGAGCGAGGCACAGGGAGAGTCGGGCGTGACTTGCAAAGCCGTGGTGATGGCGGACAGCATCGCGAGGGCCATGAAGCAGCAGCGCGCCGCCCAGCGTTGCGTTGTGAATGACATGTTGGGGGGGTTTTTTTTTTCTGCAGCGGAAATGATGTGTTACTTTGGTATAACTTGTAAACCAAAAGTGTTCCAGCCACTTTTGTAGTGTTTTTTCCACAGATGTAGGTCAAGTTGTCGTGGGAGTAAGAGGAAGAATGAGTTGAACAGCACAGCTGCCTCTCAAAAGATCAAGACGAGCCTCTTGTAAAGCACCAGCGAAAGGCAAAGAAGAATCGAGAGAAGAAGAACGGGAAGCGAGCATCATGGTGCAATGCGATGGTAGTATATAGTCCTGCGCAGTTCCCCCAACGGCCCCCCCTCTCAACTCGCACAACACACACCACCCCGGAGAACTGCAGCCGTTGTGCTGCGTGACAAGACTTGGGGTGGCTTTTTTCTTTTCTTGCTGACCCTTGCCTTGCCTCCTCCTCCTCCTCCTCCTCCTTCTTGTCCTCCCGAGCACCGGTCCAATCGCCCGCAACCCCGTTCTGCAAGCCGACTCATTACTGCAGGCGCCCAGTGGCCATCATCCCGCGTCACATCGGGAGCTTTTGGTATCCATGGGGGGTTCATTGACTAGTACAGATAGCTCCATCGACTTATCCGTAGTTCCGTTCAACTTGTGGACCACCCCGGCCGGGTAACTAGAGTGAGGGAGGGAGAGAGAGCGAAAGCAAGAGAGAGGAGAAGGCGGTCTAGCCCCGGCCCGCCACCACACCACCCATTTTCCGATGAACTTGCATAAGGAAGGTGCTCAGCAACCCTGGCCAGAGAAAAAAAGGAAGATGGAGCTTTGCTGGGCTGCAAGTTGGTTGGTGGTGCACCGAGGAGAAGCAGGCTGGAGGGGGGCTTGCTTGCACAAGTTGCGGGCGCTTACACTCCAGCCCCAGCCAACCAGACGCCTCCAACGGGGCCTGCAGCTCACATTAAGGCTTTGCAATATTGATCAAGTGCAGCCATGAATCATCCAGAGGAAAACAAAATACATGAGAGGATTAATAGACCAGTTTTATTTTCTTGCGCCTACAAATTACATTTTGAAATCAAAGGCCCCGCAACTCGCTCCCGTTTGCCGAACCTTGCTGGGACCACTGGACCACTGGACCACACAGCACACATGCTTAACCGCCGAGGCTGCAGGAACTTGCGTCCAAATTACCAGACCCCAACCTCTCCGCATGAAAACCCAAGGGAAACAAGACGGAGCTGGCCGCCATGGGCATTTTCGAATCGCCAAGCAAAGAGCGAATCATTCCGAGCGGCCTGCTCCGTACTATCGAGGCCCTTGGCGTGCTCCATATCCGATCGGCACATCTCCTTCCAAGGCCCCCAACAGCGATAACCGCCCAAGCCTACCTACCCATCCAGTAGCTACTTGGGCATTACGCAGTCCAAACAAAGTGCAAAATGAATACCGGTACACGATAAATCAAACATGTTAATGAAATTCCTGCCTAAATAGATTGACCAATAACGCCGTTGTTTTTTTGCCGCAGCCCGAGAGACGTATGATTACAGCACAATCCTCTCCGTATCAACAAAATAATCACACCTTGAAACCATGCGCAAAGCAACACTGACCACGACATCATCTCCAAACAAAAGTAACAACTGTAGCCGTACTTTCCATCACGCATCGGATTCAAACCGAATGCCAGACGTCTAGTCGCTATCCTCGTCAGAGTCATTCTTGGACTTCTTGGCCGCCTTGGCCGCCTTCTTGTCCGCCTTTCTGCGCTTGCGCTCCGCCTTCTCCTCGGCCGTCTCCCCGTCGTGCTTCTTGCGCTTCTTCTTGTCACCGTTCTCGGTGGCCGGCGTCTCAGACGTGTCCATCTTGTCCGCCTTCTGAGGAGTAGCAGCAGCGACGGCAGCAGCCGCATCGGCAGGCGCCGCAGCCGCAGCAGCGGCCGCCGCATCCACGGCGCTAAAGTCCTTGTACTCGGACGTCCACTTGGCGGGGGTGGCATCGTTGGTGCGGCCAAACTTGTCCAGCTTGCCGTCCGCCTTGAGCTTCTTCTTCTCCTGGGCGACGGGGCCGAGACCCCAGCGGCGCGGGTACAGATCGCGCTCCATGATGCAGCGCTTGACCTTGGCCACGACACCGTGGTCGCACGTCGACATCTCGACCGTCGACATTTGGGCGTAGGCGAGCGCAATGGCCTCGCCCTTGGTCGTCATGAGCACAATCTCCTCGTGGTGCTCGATGCCGGCTTCGTAGCGCAGCAGACCGGGCAGCATCAGCTTGGCGCCGTAGCAGACGGCGTTGACGGCGCTGTCCTTGACGACCAGGCGCTTGTACGAGGTCAGGAGCGTCTCGAGGGGCGAGATGACCCGGCGGAGGTACGACTCGTCACGCGTGTTGTCGTGCGTCCACTGCGCATCGAGCACGTCGTGGAGTGTCACGAGCTGCTTGCCCTCGTGCATGGCGCCGGAGCGGACACGACGCAGCTCCTGCATGTGGCCGCCGACACCGAGCAGCAGACCCAGGTGCACGCACAGGGTACGGATGTAGGTGCCGGCCTCGCAGCTGACCCAGAAAACGCCCAGGTGGCGGTCATTGTCAAACTCGATGAGCTTGCTCTCGTGAATGGTGCGGATGCGGAGTTGGCGCTTGACAGCCGAGATCAGGGGCGGGCGCTGGAACAACGCGCCGGTCATCGTCTCGAGGGCGCGCGCAAACTGCGCCTGCCCGCCGGGCAGCTTATCGTGCAGGCGGACGACAGCAACGTACTCCTTTCCGGCGCCCTGCTGCGACTTGACGAGACGGGTGGCACGGTCAACGCACACAATCAGGCAACCGGTAACCTTGGGATCAAGGGTACCGCTGTGACCAGTCTTTTCGCATCTAGAGTAGCAAAGAGTTAGCCGTTGTTTCTGGGGTTGGTTTGAGAGATCGTGACGAACCGTAGAATACGCTTAACCCAGGCGACAACTTCGTGCGAGGAAGGGTTGGAGGGTTTGTCCAGGTTAATGACACCGGAGCTAATGTACGACTTGAGGTCGCGCTTCAGAGGCGAGCAGCCATTGGGGATCGGAGTGAAGTGACCGGTGCGAACAAGGACTGTCATTGTGTCAGTACATAACATTCCCATCCAAAATCGCGGGCGTCCTCGGCGTCGTCTACTCACGCTTATCGTAGTTCTTGAGGAGCAGAGGCCAGTTGCTGGTGTCGAGCGCAGGCGTGACCGCTTGAGGCTTGATGGAGTAGTCCTCCTCGGCCTGCTTGGTGGCCACGACGTCCTTTGCCATTTTGCTTGTGATGTTCGGCAGGATTCTGTCGGTCGAGTGTCGCTAAAGGGCAAAACGTGAGACAAGGGGCGACGGTGATGATTTTTCTGCCTGCCTCTGCGTTTTGGTGATTTTTTAGATGGATAGCCAGCGTCCAAAAAGTTTTTTTTCTCTGCCTTTGTGGGGACTCGCATTGTGGCTGGTTTACGAACGCTAGCCCATTCTGGAGGGTGCCAAAGTCAGCCACAGTCACTAGCCACATTTACGGACGCGCTACAATGTTCGTGGCAACAAATTTGTACTCATGTTGCAAGTGAATATATACATTCCATCAACTCCTTCTTGGATTAACTTCGTAAGCGTTGTGCCAGAAACGATAATTCCAGAATTCCAGTTGTGGGGAAGAGTGGGCTTTCTGACCGTGCAATATGACAAACAGCAAAAGGTATCGTACAATTTCAACGCTTCAAGTGGCCACCCAGACATTCAGATGGCATGTCCGTTCCTGAAATCCTGCTCGTTCAACGAGCGTTTAGTAGGACTGGCAGAATTTCGGCCATACCCTGGATGGCCCAACACGGGAGCATCATCGAAATGGCGAGGCTCGGACGCACCGCCAGCACTGCCAGTCACTTCGTGCAGCTCGTAAGACTCGGCGGCCGCCTTGCCCTTATCTCCTTCCCAATCGTGGACATCACCACCATGAGCCATTCCAATTTGATGGTCTCTGGGCAGGGCGGCACTGGGCCAGGGCATGGAGGCCACGTCGGTCGCGCTGGTCGGGCTATTATACTGAGACGAGTATGGTGAGACGTAGCGCGGGAACGGCCTCTCGGCCGGCTCAGTCATGGGAGAGTCGGCCCATCCACTATTCAGCGGTCTCTGGCTAACTGGTGTCTCAAACATGCCGCCTCCGGGGCTCTGGGGCGCTGGCCAGCCCTTGTTTGGCGTGTAGATTGCTTCCAGTTTGCGAAGGTAGGCTCGGCGTCTTCTCTTCCCATTCCAGACGATGAATATACCCGAAATAATGAGAAGGAGCACAAAAGAACCGACTGCAATGCCCACCTTGGCATTGAGGTTGAGGGGACCGTTGTCGAACCAGGCGGGATCAACCGTGGCTATCGGCGTTGGAGTTGTGATGGTAAGGGTATTTTTAGAGAAAGGATCACCGTCAACACCAACAGAAACTCCTAACTCTGGCTTCTGGAGGCAGCCGGCATGCAGCATAACCACGACTGGCTACATGTTAGCAAGGAGTAGAGCGCTAGGCACGAGATACGATGACATACAATTGGAAATGATGCGGTGATCGGCCGCCAGGCAGTCTCTGCAGCCGCGGAAATCGTCGTCGTTACCAGTAGGCCAGAGGCTACAGTACTCGTACCCATGATCTTTGGGGGCCACCTTGTCAAAGATGGTGGCGTTCATGAAGTTTGCGCAAGCCTTGCTGTAGACGGATTAATGGGTGTTGGCGACGGCGCGAGCAGGCAATCGTACCTGGTAACGCAAGGGTTGCTGCTGAGCATGTGGTCTTTTGCTGGGACGCCAAAGAGGCATGATGAAAGAGCATACCGCATGTTATCTGCGTCAAGTGGCATTAGTCTCGTGTGTATGTGCGTAGGTTTTGAACAGCGTCAACGTACATAGGGCTGCAGTAACATCGGTCTGGTTATTGGGGCTGACAAAGTGGCTGTTGACCTCGCACTCGACGCATCCCTTGAATATTTGGCTGTCACCAGCGCCAAAACTGTCATCGCCGCATGCTATATCAGTTTGGGACGTGGAATCGATGACATTGCCGCACTTTGTCAGACAAGGCGAGTTTTCGTTGACCAAGATGGCTTGCGCCGCCGGCAGCGCGGTGGTGAGGACGAGGAGGCTGGCAAGGGGAGTATACATGACGGTCAAGACGCTCGTTTCGGGGTACGTCCCGCCCGAAAGACTGTAGTTTTGAAAGCGATGAAATGCAACTCAAATCTTGAATCGCGACGAGAGACGCGACGAGAGATGCGTACGGACAGCCGTGGAAGCGAGGCGGACGCGCGGGCGAAATATAGTTAGCGAGGTAGTCCGCGTAAAAGGTGTGGTCAACCCCGCTGAATGTGATGTCGAGAGCGGCTGGAAAGCGTCACATTGGAGAGGGGCCTGTTGGTTGAATGGATTCTGCACCTGCAAGAAGCAAGTAATGGTAGTTAGTTATCCAATGCTAGGTCCGTTACGGACTACACCGTGTGCATTTGTGAAGGTACAGCAGTGCACAAGGAGCCGGCAAGTCATTATGCGGAGGGAAGGAAGAGAAGGGTGCACGGAGGTGGCGGTATTGACTTCTCACGGCCCCCAAGACGAATGCCGAAGGGTACTGGTAACACCTGCAGACGGAGAACAGGGTATGTACATACATAGTTAGCGAGGAGGCTGGATTTCTGAGGAACATCAGGGTGTGGGTGGTATGACTGGATGGAGATGGTGGCATGGAGTTGGTAAGACCTGCAGGCAGCTGCAGCTAGCTGCAGGCCTCCCAAGCCCGCCACGAGCCCGCAAAGGCCTTTGGTTCTAGTGGACAACACATCTGCTGGCCCTTTTTACAGCGTCTTTTACAGCACCTTCAGCGGTCAACGAGTGTGGTAGCCACAATCACATTCACCCCATCGTATCCCAGCAAACGGCCTCCCATTGGCCAGCCGTGTACATTGCTCGGCGCTTATATCGACGACCTCATTGGGTCGTTGTGTTACCAGCCATGCATGTCGTCACATCGCGCTATCACCATGCAGGAGGGTTGTTTAAACCCCGTAAGTCGTTATTGATACCCTGTTCCAGTTCTCCTCGCTTCTTTTTGTTCTTTTTTTTTTTTTTTTTTAAGTTTTTGCTGTTCTTCAGAAAATGGCGGAACAGTGTACCGGCTTGTGGATCCTTTTGCGAACACGAGGCTAGAAATCAATGCAGTGCGTGGGCAGATACGGATAGATCTACGGCCAAGACTCCGAGGATGAAGGATGATTTAGTTATTTTCTCAAATCTCCGGCTAGAATAAATATAAGCCATGTTTGCATCTGTAAAAGCGACGTCTAATCCAATACGACACTAAAAGACGGCAAATCAGGCTTATCGAAAATGACCTTGATGTCCGATTAATGCCCTGTCATGCTGGAGTCTTGCTGGCGTCAGAATTGTGAGCACAGGAGCCACAGGAGCTGTAAACACGCTGGCTGGATGTATTTGACCCCCGGACGTGCGACAGATCGTCGTGTTTTAAGCGTCGCTGGCTTTTCTTGTAATCTGTCTTTTCTTCTTCCTTTTTTAAAAAGAAGAAAACAAAAACTGACAAATTGAAGATGCGGACTCATTCTGGTACCCTGAAGAAACGAAGCGACTCAATAAGACGTTTCTTTCTCCTAGAAAGCGGCATGTCCGTCACGAACTTTGTGTTCCCTACGCAAAACGGCCCTGAAACGGTGCATCGTAAAATTACACGCGATGCTTCATGCGTACGCTGTATTACATCTTTTGAAATTAGTCTGAATGAGTCTTCTTCCTCGAATACACCGCTCTCGTTCCGGCCTATTTAAGCTCTGGTGGTCCTCCGCCGACCGCAGGTAGGCTCTTGATGGCCATCTGACAATTCTGAACGATGAAATTCCTGACGAAGCTATGCCAAACTATGCCTATCTTGTCTTGCAGCAGTCAGATATTAAGCCCTCTTCAACTTTGTGCCTTGGACTATATCCTGCTCTCCTCCTCTAGCATCCCGTATACAGAGTCCCTTTTGCTTACACACCCTCACACCAGATACCGCACTTCATCGGCCGCTCATAAAATTCTTCATACTCACTGCAACGCCAGCTTTGGAGCCGGCCAAGAACGGGATCCAGATCTGCGAGCCTTGCCGCCCAGCACCGCGCCCGCGTACCGAGCCCGGCCGTTTCGAACCGCCGGCAAGCTCGCGCTGCGAGGCACATCTCTGGGCCGCGCACCGCTCGTCGACTGCGACTTCTCACCACCACCGCAGCGCGCAGCATCGACGTCATTACCGTGTCTTTCCCTGCGGTGGAGTAACCCATGACATGTTGAGTCTCTCGAGGAGCTCCGGGTTTCCTCTTCTGAGTACTGTCTTTGGTTCCGGCTGCGGCCGCGGGACCGTGCCGAGTCACTGCCGGTCTGCGAGCTCGCCGTCGTCATGATGCTTGGACTCGCCAGGATCGGGATGAGGCCGCAGTTGGCGGCGCTGGTCCAAGGCTTCAACGAGTCTGGTGCCTTGGCGTTGCGAGATTTGGGAGATGTTGGTCTTTGAAATGCCGGGGAATTTCTTCTGGATGAGCCGTCCGAGTTCGACAAGACGGTAGGATTGGCTGGCGGACGCGAGCGACCGAGGCCTGTTTGCGGTGCTTTGGGTCGCGCCAGCAAGTCTGTCCGAGCAAAGGCCAGATTTTGTCTTGTGCTGCTGCCATTTCCCGCCACTGTTAGCCACTGTCCGACCCAGCACTGCGGCGACGACGAGATAGCCGTTTGGGGGTCCTCCGCTGCCATCGCGTCTGTGGCGAGGTGATTGAGTGTGCGTAGCATATATCCTCTGCTCCCCGAAACGCCTTGCCCTCGCTGGCGAGCGCCGCCTGGATGAGGTGTGCTATCCTCTGGAGGACGGACCAAAGTGGCCGAGACGTCGAATTTAGATACCGCCGCGGCGCGCGCTCTGTACTCGGCCACCGATATTTCTTGGGGAGACTTGAAAGGCGATTTTGGAATCTCCAGTGTCGGACGAGGCTCTCTCGTGGCTATCGTGTGCTGCGCAGGTTTCCTGTCAACGCGACGTACGCCCATGGCCAAGAGGGCCTTGTGCTTGGATGGAATGCACACTTTATCAAAAGTGTGCCTGTTCTTCTGCGAGAATCTTTGAGCAGTATCAGATCCCAGGTACGACGTATCCGGTGTCGGAGGTGCCGCCTGTGGCGACCCCGCGCTATTACCCGAAGAATTGTCCTCCGGTTCCTGGTCGTACTCGACCCCTTCCTGCGCAAGGACAAGTTTATACTCGAGGTCTTGGGAAGTGTCAACAATAAAATTGCCGTCTTGGCAACGTTGTGCAGGAACGAGTTTGTATTTGGGGTCCTCGGACGTCTCGACAAGAAGAATGCCTTGCTCCCGGGCTTTCATGAGCTCGTGGACGAAAAGTTCTCCGCCGCTGATGCTGAGCACGGTACTTGTGCCAGCATAAATGGTGTCACCCGCGTCACCGACTCGGTTGCAAAGGACGACGACGATTTTTCTAGCGAGCTGTGCCTCAACCAGCGGCCACAGATACGCAGCCCAGCGACTAAGAGCGTCCTCATCGCACTTGTTGTAGAGCTCATGCGGTTCTCTTCTCGATTTATACGCCATGGAGAAGATGGCAATGTTGATGCCCGACATCCGGATATGGTCCACGAATGCTTTTCTTTCCTTGGCGTTTGACCCTTCATCGTCACTAGCAGCGTGGCATGTCAGCGATTTCTTTCCTCGATCCAGCCATGACGGCAGGAATTTTCTTACATACCCCAGATCCGTGTCTACTCGATTTCAAACACGAAACAAGATATCAGCACTTCTTCTAGTCAGAGTTTTGAGTTGTTTCCACTTACACTGTGCGACAGAAACCGCGCTTTCGGTGAAGCCAATCTCCGAAAAAATGGGAGATTCTCGATTCAATGTCCTTTCAGGACAATTTGCAAGGTTTCTAACATCGCGGCTCACAATGACGGAGGAGCTAAAGAACGGGTCGCGAGTGTATTTGGCAGAATAGTCATCGACCATCTGGGGGTAGCCGACCACAACGTGACAATTGTACTTTCTGGCAGCATTCTGGGCCCAAATCCGCGTGCCCGAACCACCAGCAGGTTCAAGGTAGTGCTTCATTTTCTTCGGGTCAAAGTCGGACCCTGCAAAACTTCAAGGTTAGCAAAGGTGAGTGCAAAACCAACTCCGTCAAGAGACGAATCGCTTTTCTAATTGAGGGAGGTGCTTCATTGTATGACTTACTCAAGAATGCCAGTTTTGGCAGGACTAGAAAGTCGAGCTTTGATATGGCGGCAATGGACTCTCTGTCCAGGAATCTGCTGGCCTTGTCCTTGGGGTCGACGGCCCCGGGTTGCGGCTCAATCTGAAGACAGCCGATGCGCATTTTCCTCAAGGTACGTGGTTTTCAATTACAGGATTATAAATAAAAAGGAGGATATTTGTCTTTGGACCACAGTTCAAGATGCTGTAAAGTGGTGTGCTTTGGGATGTCCCGAGGGGGGGTTGTAGATTCGAGTCACTGTGTGTTTGCTGCTCACGCAAAGATTGCCAAGTTCCGGTCGCTAAGATGTGTCTGCTTTATATAAAGTACACAGACATGCGGATAGAAGTTTTGCTTTGTATTATTTTCGGACGGGAGAGATGAAAAGGTGTGGCAGTGGGTAGGCACCATCCCTGCCGGCTTCTGTCGGCTTGTGCACGTCGTCTGGCGATGGTATCGGGGAGCTGCACCCTCAGTCGTGGTGTGGGTAGCTGGTAAGAATGATAGGGGAGTCCTACATTACATCACAGGTATAATGGAATCACATCATCTTCAATAATTGCGCTGCGAAGCGTGAGTATTGTCATGCCAAGGGCGGCCGTCCTCCGCCTCAAGACGACGGTCGTGATACCGCAAGATAGCCCGTGGGCGTGGTACAATTGCTGCCTGCCGTTCCATTTTTGGAACACTCCTGCCTATCCTTATTCTGTTTCGAGGTGGAACTACTATTTTTGCGCTTTTGGCTCCTGCCCAGTGGGTGTCTCCCAAGCATTCCGATCCCTTTCCTATACGGAAACAAGGAGCCACGACTCTCGAGCACCTTTCATTTAATTAGCGCGACCTCTTTTAGAATGCGTGCTATATCTCATCAATATATGATTTAGGTAGCATGCTCAAGTCGTTGGAGATGGCTCCTAGCCGACCAGACTGGTCGCATCAGCACTTGTCAGGTAGTACCAAACTAGCTCCTTGCGATGTGAATGTCTCTTAACTTGACGTTTTCATCAAGCTACCATCCCTACCGTGTAACTGGTACACAATGAAGCCCTAATACTACGTCGGGTGTTTTCGCACAGGTGTGGCAGTACGTTACGTCAAAGGGACTTGCCGTCCTGGCCCCTTCCCCCGGCGCACCTATCGGGGTCGCCGTTCACAACTATAGAGTTGATATTCTTGGCCACCACATTAAGTGACTAACTCAGATGATAGATTGTCATTGAGCGAATTTTAAATCAACGTGCTCGGCAGACGATGGACAGGGAGGGTGGCTGTCTATTGTTACACAAATCACGGACAGCTCTAACCACAGAAATCGTTGGACAAGAGCGGACGAAAGACAGAGGCAGCAGCTCCTCTACAGCCGAGGTTACTCACAACAGTCCGCTGTTTGGAGAGGGCAAGATGCTTCAATTCAGTATGCATAGGAACGGATCCCTTTGTTCTTTATGATTATAACCTGCTCAGCGTCCTCTCTTCTGTAGCTTCCAAAACTCAAACTATCCTGGTCGATCGTCACATGTCAATTCACTATTATGTAAGGGCAAATGCAAGCTACACAGACAGAAAATACAAAAACGCCTGTATCATTCGATTAATGCAACCTCAGCCATTAATAAGTTCAATAACGCCTCCGAGGGAGTGTCATACTATCGCCTTCTTCCTCATAGACAAGGACCATTGGTACGGGAGTTTTGCGACCCTTCTCACGCTGCCGAGACCTCTCCGCCTCCCGGGCAGTCGGTGCCTGTCTCGGTGTACGTCGTGATCGGATCTCTCTCTCTCTTTCCTTCTCCTTTGCCGCCTCCCTGGGGACGAGCCTCAGCGGCGGTACCTGTCTAGCCGCCGCTTTTGGTCTCCGAGAGGGGTCTTGCAGAGGAACCGCGTTTTCCTTGGCCTTGGACCTGCTCAGCGCCGGGAGCCTCTCATTATATGCGGCATGTTCAGTGCCCGCGATGCTGGAAAGCTCTGGAATGCTCGTAATTCTTATTGGGTCTACGCCGTTGTCCGCCGTCTTAGTTCCAGTACCGGCGTCTTCTGTGCGTTTTCCCGACTGTCGTCTTGCATAAGCTGCCGTGGCAAATGCAGGTGCTTGTCTTTCGTGACGCCGCCTGGGGCGCGTTTGAGAGAACTGCGTCATGTGGCTCATCGGAGTGTCTGCAATCGGTGTAGGTTCCGGTAAATGCTCCGTCCAAAAAGCCTCCTTGGTCTGGGCTACACTCCCAAAGGTATAATTTGGCTGGAAGTCAGCACCTGAGCGTACCCGATTGTGAGAAGCCGGCACCAGGATGGGCAGCTCCATCTTGTCCGACCCGACGTCAGGCGCATATTTCAGGTCAAGGCGGGGATCGCCGTGGCCCATCTGCGCTTCACGAATGACCTCTCCCTTTTTGGACTCTTGGCATTCCTCTTCATCTTCCGCCTCATCCTCGGTATCCGCAGGAAGGCCTTGTCTGAGCCGTCTCTCCCTGAGCAGGTGTGTATGATATCGAATGTGGTGCTCAGATGTCAGATTTTTGCCATGTACATACTTGTATATGTCTTGCTCCTTAATATCGTTCTTCTTTGAAGTCGGCAAAATCTTATCTTCGAGAATAAAAGCTGAGATCCTTTGCACAAGAGATGACTCTGAAGCAGCATCCTGCTCTGGCTGTGGATTGGGCAGACGAGCTTGTCGCTGATGTGGCGTTGAATTACTGGCAGCATCCCGGTTCTTGTACGCTCGCTTGCTGCTGGTTGCGTTACGCCGCGGCGTATTGTCATACCTTTGTGAATCCTCTTGGGTGCGGGGCCAGGCCTCCTCGTCGGTCTCCTCATGTGACAATGAGAGGAGGGACTCGTCGCTGTCGGAAAACTCATCTAGCCGATTGGTATTGTAGTCGCCTTCACTCATCGTCGGGCGCATGTCGTCCACTCCGCGTTTCTGGGCGACTGGGGCAGCAACGTGTGACTGTGTGAACTGGGTGTAGCTAACGTGGCTGCTCGAGGGCGTGATTCCAACGCTGCTACCATCAACTCTAAAGGGACCGCTTGTGGGATGCTCACGGGGCCGGCGTGATGGTTCCCGCCAATCGTCATTGTGTTGCGGGTCTCTTTCTGGCCCTCTAGTCACCATGATTGTGTTCAGGGTGTGCTCTTGGACATCTGTTGGGGGTATCTGATTCATCTCCATGCCGTGCGCAGCGTGCTTCCCCAGGCCATTCTCATTTCTCGGTTTATCTGAAAAGCTCGTTTGGTGGTGTGCCTGCGGTGCTACGGCGTGGTGGCCGTGATCTTGCGCCGAAACAGGCTCGTGGCCCTGCAGCTTGAGTTTTGCATACGGCAGAGCGTCTGTGTCAACCACAAGTAGAGACTCTTCATCACGCCCGAGCATACCATAGAGGGAAATTTCACCAGACTTGATACCAATCACAGTAGTTGTGCCGACATAGGTAGCATCCCCCTCCGCACCGCATCTGTTTCCAAAGACGATGATAGTCTCTTGATTGGATTCGATAGAGATGATGGGTTGCAGACGCGTGATCCAGTACAACAAGGTATCCATATCTGGGTCAGCCGGTTTCCGGGAGAATTCCTCCTGGTCAACATGGGTACACCAGGCCATGCTGAGCACCACGAGGCGCGCGCCGGACTTGAGTACATAGCTGGAGAACTCATAGGACTCCCATGGAGCTTCAAACTTGTAGGGACTGTAGCGCCCTGTTAGTTTGCCGGCAAGTAGCAGGCTGCCAGGGAGAACTTACTTGATGTCCATGCAGATACCGACGACCATGTGTCCCAACGGCTGAACATGGCCAGTCCAGAATCCACTGGGCCCTTCAAGCGCCCAGGTTTCATCCGTGTAGTACAGGTGGGATTTTCTGTAATTTCCTACAACATCGCCGTCGCCGTCCATGATGATGGCCGAGTTGTAGTATTCCGGATCGGCGGGCCAACTCTTCACGGGATCAATCTTCTCCGGGTAGCCGGCGACGACGACACAGTCGTACCGGAGAGCAGCCTGCCGCGACCATGCTGCGGTGATGCCAGCATCTCCCAGCTCCAAGTGTGGCGAGATATGGCCGAGGGATTTAAAATTGTAGCCGGAGAAGGCCAGCTCGGGTAGAACCAGGAGATCAATGTCTTGCGGGTCGGCCCGGTCCAGAATGGCATCCGCCCGCTCGATGTTGTGGTCAACCTCGGCGAGCTGCGGTGCAAACTGGAGACAGGCGATACGCATATCGAGCACGGCCGCTAGGAGCGGCAGCGGGCGCGAGCGCGATCGCTCACTCGATAGGCGACTTTGGGCGGCTTCCCAGTGCGGGCGTGGATGGGCGACACACGGAACACGCAGGCTACCAGTGCTGGTAGATGATTTATGTGATACCAGAGACCAGACTTCTTGCCTGGAAGATGGAGGGTCGTCCAGAGGTGCTTTGGAAATCAAAGGGCGACGTTGAGTTGGCGGGGTGCGTGTGAGGCCAGCGAGGCTACCGAGTGGTGCACCTTGGCGATAATACTGGAGCGCTCCGTTTGCTGTCTGGTTTCTAATTGGAGGGAGGTGCGATGAGCCAGTCACGCAGTAATACCCGTCAAAAAACAGCAGTCGGTGATATTTCCTTTTGTTCTTCAAAAGGAGTTTTTTTTTTTAAGAAACAGAATTGACACTGGAAACGACCTTGTCGATGACTATCCGTATTACCGCCCGTTTGGCTGTGCTAAGCCTAGGGCTGCTTTGGTGGGCCAGTCATCAGGACGCCTCTGGTAGCTGAACGGCCAGCTAGGCGCTCGCGCTCGCGCTCCTGCTATGGGGTTTATTATTCTGGAGCAGCAAGACTGCAGCCAGTCCAATCCTCTGGTCAGCCTGGCCTGTAGATGGTCGGGCGGTTGGCTTTTTGGAGGGTGCGGTGCCATTTTCACCGCCGTCAGACCATTGCTGGTTTTGAGTCTTGGTGTCGCTGACCGCCTCCCGTCTACCCGGCCGACAACAGAAAGCGACAACTAACTAACTAGACGAGCTCGAGACGAGACTAGTCGGCGAAGCAACATCTTGACGAGAGCGCCAACCGATCGGCGCCCGCTTTCCAACGCTTGCGCGCCAGGAAGCAATTTGTGCTCGGGTTGGGCAAACACCAGAGGCCAAGGCCAAGTGCGGAGTCTTCCCGCGATCTGGACCCTGTGCACCATGGCCGCCCCTCTTGCATTTTGTTTTTTCCCTTCGACTTGTGCTAACTAACAATAATGACTCAAGACTCTCTTTTTTGTCAATGTGGCGGCTTTTATGTTTTCTTTCCGACTTGTTATTTACGGATCCTCTATGCTGGCCCTCTTCGGGGGCCGACTATCTGCATACAGAGACTGGTGGATGGCTGTCGATGCCAGGCAGACACCCTGTTAGCCCCGCCACGAGTCACATTTGTGAGCCAGGTCAAGAGCTATTATGTCGCACAAAAAAGCCTTGACGCAGGACATTTCATTGAGTGTGCGTTATCAACTAATACTGAGTAGGCATGGGCAAGGAGGAGGGAGGTGGTGTGGCCATATGTTTGCAAGCGGCTAGCGGATATTAAGACCGGGCACATTCCCTGCGGACGACAGCCAAAGCCTCCAATGAACAGTGCCAACATGGAAAGACAAGAGAGGCCTCGTCAAGGTGGCGTTCTGCCTCGCGGAGTGTGGGAGGCCATGGGCCTGTCATGTCCACACACAACGCAACGAGTGTCACCGACCCCTCTCGCCCTACGGCGGATACCAATATCGACGTTCACGTACCAGTACAAGTTGGTCTTGTGCATACTGTGTACCTACGGACAGGATGTGCCCGTTTCCGTGCTTATAAGGAAGGCTGTCGAGGATAAGTAGCACACACACCGTCTATGCAAAAGACGAAAGAGAATACTCACTACCAGCGTCCAATACAGACTATAGCAAAGGCACTCGGAAGTACTCATACTGGCTTGCTGTCTCACACTTAGGCCTGTTGTCTCGCGCGGCGTGGCGAGCAAAGAGACTCATGTCCGTAACTAGTCAATCCGCTGGTCAACACAGAAGACACGGAGGGATAACAATTAATCAATTATCACTCGACATGCATGGAGCACCGCATGCCGGGCGGGGGCTGTCGACGGCTAACTACTCGTAGTGCCCGAGGAAAAGCGACCGGGTCTCCAGCACACAGACACACAACCTGGACGAGGCGAAAAATATTACAGTGTGCTTCGTCTCTTCGCTTCCCTGCCCTGGGGCTTCACATAGCGTGATGCAACGTTTTTAAGATTCGATTGCCGCCCAGGCGCCGCATGGTCTTGATAGTAGATGATATCCCCATCTTGGGAAAGAGGATCAACTCGGGTATGACCAAGAGCAAAGGCTGACTATGTCCTTGCAGAACTTTTTATCCCGCTCAGCAGCCTAGCAGGGGACGAGCAGTATTACGAAGTAGTCGTCAGTGCCCACCGCAAAGCTACGAATAACACAGCCATGTTGTTCAAGCAGGCCAACAGCAAGCCGTTCCATTTTCTCGGGACCAGAGACCTTTTCACAGTGACAACTGTCGCGCAACAGCTGTCCATGCAGTGGCAGGTAGCCAGTACCTTGAGAGGAATATGCCCGTGCGCCAGGATGGACTCTGCCGCTTTTTTCCTGGCGAATACAGATTTCTCCGTACTGATACAACAACCCAGTCATCCTGCAGCCTGCGAGACCAACCTGCTGTGGCCCCCCCCGGGAACCGCATCCTTGCCCATGGCCGCCGAATGGCCAATCCAGCGGGCGACTGGGGCAGTGGGTTACATCGTCTGAGCCCAGCGCTTACAGCAACGTCTGTATGGTTCGCTCGGTGCCGTGGCTTGCAGGACCCCTCCCTCTCCAGCGGCCATCTGCCCAGTCACAAGGCAACCTCCGTCCCACTCAGAAGCAAGGGTGCGAGGCCGGAAAAGGTGCTATCGAGCGCTGGACACCCCCCATCGCGGGGAGGATCACTGGGCGGGAGCAAGACCAGGGAGCAAACCATCACAGACCCGATGATTGGTCCGGCTCAGAACCGCCGCGTGGTCCTATGTTTCCCGCTGGGGGGCAGGCCGCCTCTGACGGGCCAGAAAATCGTACTTCGGCCGCTTCTTCTCCACCATCCATCCATCATCAACACCGCGGCCTTCCTTCTTCAGACACATTGTGTCCCCCCAACCTTTGCAATTTCGTGCTCTCTTTCTGTGCTCTGGGGCGGGGGGCGGTGGGGGCCGATATTTTTCTACTTTTTTCCTTGCGGTTCCCAGTATCCGTTAGTACGTACGCCTTCGGCTCCGTTCTGGTCTTGCCCGCCCCCCTCCTGGTTGAAAAGAGAGACAGTCACACACAAAATATACGCCAACCTATTCACCCACCGGCCAACCTGATCGGCAGGCTTTCCATCTGGTGCATCTGGTGGGGGCTACCTCGCCCGTTGCGCCACTCATTGCAACAGTGTTCTGGCTGGGTGAGCTGATTCCTGCAGTAGGAGTGTGATGCTAGTTGGCAACCAACGTTTATTTGACTCTCCCGGGGACCGTAAAGTCCCGTTTTGTCGCTTGTGCGACTCACACGTCCTGCAGTGTGCTATATCCTCCCCTCCCACTTTATTACTTTTGGCCTGTACCGGTAGCTACCGCATAACTTCTCCTCTCTGCCTCTTTTCTGTTCCCGTCTTCCTTTCCCACATCCCAATGCTCCCTTTTTTGCTCCCTCGAGGGCTATGTGAGAAATAGAGAACTCGACACTTTGCTTCCTGTCCACAGGAGAAAGCTCTCTTTTGTTTCTCTCCCTCTTCTGCCATGAGCGAGACAAGAGACTAGAAACCTCCCCCCGCGTCGCGCCTATTTTTGCCTATTCGACTGCCCCTCAGCCTTGTGCCGGTGTTTTGCAGCCCCCAAGCTGTACCCGTGCTCTTGCGGCCCGTGGTAGGCCCTCTTTTGTAGCTCTCACCACGGGCGCCTCCACGACTGGCGCGTAGCCGTTGCCACGACCATGGCCTCACAACGTGCATTCAGAGTTGGTTCTGCTCTTCTGTTGGCCTGGGTCTTTTCGACGGCCGATGCTCTCCAGGTAACGCCAGGCTCTAAATGCGCCAAAGTTTGCCTCGACTCCGGAAGCGACAACCCGTGGAAGGCGTCCGACTCCAACACCAACATCACCGATGTAACCTGCTCGGATGCCAGTTACCTCAACACACCAGTTGGTCAACATTACCAAAGATGCCTCTCTTGCCTGCAACGGAGCAATAGATTCTGGGACGGCGAGGCTGATTTGAAATGGTTTGTCTGTAAGTCACACTGGGCTAGCATCTTGATTCTCTGGTACGTTGCTGGTAGCTTACACATGCTTCACTTGTTAGACAACCTTCGATACACACTCGACGCCTGCCTCTTTTCAATACCATCTACGCCAGCAAATGACCACGACATACCTTGTTCAACGAACGGTGCCTGCCATGCCCTCAAATCATCACTGTCCAACGACAAGCTCGAACCAAACCCCAGCCTAGCCTGGGACTACTGTGCGGCCGATGACGGAAATTTCATGAGCCAAAACCAATCCTTGTGTCGTGACTGTCTACGAAATAGCAACGACCAGGTCTACATGGCCAACTGTAAGTGAAACCAGCATCTTCCTCGGCACGCACCCCCGCCTTCCCAGGCACTAACCAGCGACCAGTCATCACGGCCCTCGAGGCCGGCTGCCGCCAAACACCCAACGACGGCGACGTACTCGGTCTGAGCGCCACCATCTTTTCCAAATCCAGCGTCGACATTATCGACCCGCAACGCGTCACAAACCCCGACCAGCCCTCTGGCGACCTCCCCGCCCCCGCCATTGCCGGCATCGTCGTTGGGGTGGTGCTCGTGTGCCTCATCGCTGTGTGTCTGCTCGTGGCGCACTGCCGCCGCGAGCGCCGCCAGGGCAGCTGGACCGACGACCCGTACGACTCGGAGCCGCAGCACAGCCCATACCGCGCACCCAACGCCTGGACCCCGAGTGGCGGAGGCCTGGGCCGCGGCCTCAAGTCCCACGTCGTGCGGCCGTATCGCGGGGAGCAGGTGTACATGGGCGGTAACAGCCGCGCGCACAGCGAGAAGACGACGCCCGTCAGCGCCACCCAGCAGCATCCGGTTGCCGTCGAGCTACGCAGTGGGCCGCCCGCCGCCACGCACGACCACGACCACGATGGCGTTCCTACGCCGCATGGCTACTACCGGCGGCGGCAGCCCTCGCAGAGCACCATTGTCACGCCGGCGCCGACGTATGACGGGGATGACTGCGACGAGCTGCGACGGGGTCGCGCGCCTTCGCGCACGCAGGCTGGCAGGGACGACGACTATTTTTCGCACCGCGGCGGCGGCGGCGAGGACCGCAAGGAGCCGCAGCCACCGCCCCCGATCAGCGTTGGCCTGCCAGCCAACCCGCGACGGCGGTCGAACACGCCCGACTCGTTTGCCGAGCAGGCCTACATGGCCGCCGCCGAGGAGTCGGAGCGCATCGCGGCGCGGCATGCCGCCCGTGCATCCCAGCTCTATTATCCAGCCTCGTCCTTAGCCGGCGCCGAAGCCGCGTCGTCCAAGAGGGACAGCTCCGGCAAGCTCTCCTCGATGCTGCCCAACGCCATGACGTGGAAAATCAAGGTGCCGAGCCTTTTCCGCTCGTCGTCGCCCAATCGTCCTATTATGAACATTTCGGCGCCGATTCTGGAGACAGCCCCACGATACTCGATTGCCCCGCGAGGTCCAGTCGTAGTTGATCCCAACAGGCAGAGGCGTGTCGTCCCACGCATGAGACAGGAAGCTGTTTCGAGTGACTTGTATGGATGAAGATACTTGAACAACAACTACTGTGTAGGCTTCAGCCGAGGCTACCAACCTACCTACCTACCTACTACCCCCATTATATCCTATTTGAATTCACGCAGTCCTTTTTTCCCCTCCTTCTGGGCTTCGTTATTTTCCTTTTTTTTTTGGCATTGAGACTGGCGGGTTTTCGCTTTTATGAGCTCATGTACCGTTTTCACTTTGATTTCCTGGCAGATTGACGTCGGACACACAGAACACTCACACTCACTATCATAATGCGAATATCCTGGGGATTATTTTCTCATTTGTAACTCTGGTTATGGTGTTTTTTCCTTGGTAGGAGACGCGGTTTTGGACAAGCATACTTGGCAATAGTAAAAAACATTTGATCATTGTTATGGTCAAAATTTCCTTGCATGTAGAGGTGTCTTGCTTCCTTCTTACAAAGAGTGCGGTACTCTGCACTTTTTTGTACTCGTATACATGTCGTACAGCGGCGTCCAGTACCTCCTTCTTCCCTCGTCTTCCGGGCATCCGGGAAGTGGTTCGAATTTGGCGGCGCCCGTGCTACTACCTGATGCATACCTGGCTGTGTGGTCACTTGTGGCTGCGATATCCGGGCGCGAGACAGCCAGAATGTGACCCCTCTTGCAGCCTGAACAGGACGGGTCGTGAAATCGAGACAACTGACTTGACCAGGCAAGACAGCCAGGGCCCCGGAAAATCTGTATATTCTTTAGGTTCTTCCGTTTGTCAGTGGACTTTTCGACGCGCAGAGTTGGGCATTTTTCTCATCCTGGTGCTTGCTAGCAAACATTGTATTAGAGACACTTCGACCGCTGGTTATCCCTGCTTGGGACCATGTTTTCGATTCTGCAAGCCATTTCTCATTTCTCTCTCCCCCTCCTGCAACCATCCTGGCCGTTCCCCCCCATGGCCCCTTCCCCCACGCCCCCAAAGCCACCCTGGCTGCTTGTTGTCCGGATGAAAAGCCGATGTTGGTTGGCGCGCTGCTCCCCCAGTCCCGCCCTACCATCACCATGCCACACCACATTTCTCTTTCTTCGCTAGTTAATTACTTGATAATTCTCTCTTTGTAGCTCATTTTTTGGCTCGTTCGGGCCATGACTTTGGTGGGGGCCAAAGGTTCCCGTCAAGCCACCCAGCGCAGCATCCCGACGTGGACCTGCCTTTTCTGCTCGCCGCCTGTCTTCTCATTGTTTTGGTTATGATTGTGCAGAGATATCCGTGTGACTTGCCCTTTTTTCAAGGGGCCACTCCCCATTTCTCATCCTCCCTTTATACGCATACACTCACTCACTCTCTCTCTCTCTCTCTCCCGCTCTTCTCCGGATCCTGGCCACTCTACCCATACGGATATGCACATCCCCTTCCCCCCTGCCCTCTCACTGCGGTCATACTGGCATGGTCCATCTCCGCCCGTCCTGTTTATTCCTTCCAAAACAACAGCACCGTCGCCCATGCTGCCAACAAAACCATCATACATCAACGTCATACACGCGCACATTCGCACATTCGCACATTCGGACACGCACACACGCGCACACGCGCACACTGCACTTATGATAAAATCGGATGCATGCATACTCTGCCCGCATCTATCATCTTGCTCCATTTCCTGGGTTGAAACTTCGACACTCCTCCTCACCCTCATCCTGCCACCGACCTCAAAACGTCCTTGAATCTCTGGTATTCTAAATTTACCAAGTCAGTGCCACAATTTGGTTTGCCCTCTATTGTTTCAGTGAAAGGAGCGGAATATTTGCCTGTTTGGTGATACCATTTGGCAGGTGCTCAGTTGGCTCCAGCTCCGACCACTCTCTGGTCCGACTTGTCTGCAATGACAGGCGTCGCTAGCCTCTAGGGCTGGCTCACATCTGTCTTGATATTACCTTCTGATGGTTCTGACCTCTTTCTCCTCTTTTAACGTTATCCCCCCTACCTCCTCTGCGCTTTGAAGTGCTGGGCACCATGCTGTGCAATATGAACTTGACACAGCTGCGTCCCGCCTTCTGGGCGCTGCCTCTGCTAGCTACCACGACAGTCGTCCTCGGTCTCCAGGTCGCACCCGGCTCGCCCTGCGCGCACAACTGTCTAGGATCAAGCTCTGATAACAACTGGAGTGCCGATGCCTCCAAGACAAATTCCAGCGAGATCACCTGCTCCGATGCGGCCTATGCGGACAGCAAAGTCGGCATCAAGTATAAACAGTGTGTCGAGTGTCTGCGCACAAGCTCCCGCGGTAATTGGGGTGAAACGGACGCAAAGTGGTTTGTCTGTGAGTCTCGTCAAACATGTACTCGCAATACCTTATGCCTAATGATATGATAGACAACTTGAGGTATGCTCTTGATGTCTGCCTCTACAATTCGCCCGAGGCAGATCCTCCCGTTCCTACCTCTCCATGTGCGGACAACCAAGGCTGCAAGAACCTCAAGTCCGCCCTTGCCGGAGACCAGCTCGTACCGACGCAAAATATGACTTGGAACTATTGCTTCCGCGACGATGGTGTCTTCATGGGCTCAAACCGTACCTCATGCAGGGACTGCCTGCGCGAGACGAAAGACCAGACTTATATGGCCAACTGTAAGCTGTTCTGAGCAACCATCACAGCACAACTTTCGCTGATTTGATATTTCTGCAGTTTTGACGGCTCTAGAGGCGGGATGCCGCCAGACACCCGAAAAAGGTACCGTCATCGGGCTCAGCGGTACTGTCTTCACCAGCCAGCAAGTCAACATGACCGACCCAGAAAGCCCACCCCCCGGAGACCACGCCTCCCTCTCGACCGGCGCCATCGTCGGCATCGCCATCGGCGTTGTCGTCTCCATATCTGTCGCCGTCGCCCTGCTGCTAGTATATTGCAAGAAGCATCGCGTCGAGGAGAACTGGGAGGACTACTTCGACGACAACCTCGCGACGCCGCAGCGTCGGGGGCCTCCCCAGGACAGCACAGCCCTACGAAACGTACAGTATCTACCCACGCAGCCAGAGGCCGTAGCAAAGTTGCCCCGAGCCCAGCAGAGAGGCAACAGTGGCCCCGCCAAGGGCTCCGAAGAACGGCCGCCCGTGTCCAGCGGTCACTACTCGGACAGCATCGAGCGGCACCTGCCCAACAGCGGCCACATCTCTCCCGCCAAAGAGCCAAATGCTGCGGCCGCCCGCCCTGATGGCTCCAGGTACGACGACCGCTCCATCTCCCGCGTCCACTCCCGCACCACTACGCGGGGCGGCTCGCCCACGGGCCATCGCGAGCCCTCGCCTCCCGCGTCGGTGCACAGGCACGTGCGATCCAACACGCCGGACTCGTTTGCCGTCCAGGCATACCTCGATGCTGCCGCCGAGTCGGCGCGCATGGCCACCGCCGCCGCAGAAGCGGCAGCGGCCGCTGGCTCCCCCACAGGGTCCTCCTCGGCGAGCACCAAGCGGCGGTCGATCCTGTCCCTCCTGTCCCTTTCTAAGCTCGGCGGTGGCCGTTCCTCCAACAAGAGCCCAGAGAGTTCGCCCGTGCATCCTGGGTATATCCTGCAGCCGCGGCTCACCAGCGACAAGGCCTTTCACGGGGACAAGAACATCTCCCGACCCATCCTCGCCAGGGAGGAGCCGCGTTTCCTCGACACCCACACCATGAGCAGCACTTCTCCCTCAGTGTCGAGAGCGCCCAAGTCTGCGACATCTCCAAAACAGACTAAGTACATTGAGTACAAGGAGGTTCCGCTGAGGGATGGTAACAGTGCCTTGTGGGATTGAAGCCTTATATTTATCCATTTTTCCCATTTAATTACAGTGAAAGTGTATCTTGGTCATTTTCTTTTACTAGGATGGGTCGATAGTGATTTTATCTGCGCACATTTCCCTTTTTCCCTTTTATGGCCGGTGTTCTCGGAGCAGGGCTACATAGTCTTTCTTACATGCGGTACTACAGAACCACTTGCTGGGCAGCCGTCATTCATTTTTTGGCTAGAAACCACGCCTCAGACGCATTTACATCTGTTATCAACTTGTCATGTTATTTATTTCACTAACGTACTGGAGTTTGTAATGCAATGATACCGTTTGTCAAAAAGATTATATTCGTGTGGTAGTGCGTATCGTTACTATCGTGCCAATAGCAATACTCATTGTTATATATACTATGGGCTTGTTATACATGGGTTGCCTACAGAGCTGCTCGAGCCAAGTTGTACACACGAGGCTAGTTACAACCTCGTAGTACAAAACATTCTACCCGAGACGGTGGCCTGAACCTCTCGTCCTCCAGGCATCTGGGAGCGGACCAGACTCAACGCCGGTGCTCCTGCCCCCTGCGAAATCACTAGCAGCGGGCGCACCAGGACGGGAGATGGCTTGGATGACGCGGCCCTCTACAACCCTCACAAGACTTGTCATGAATTTCGGCGTCTTGAGAATGTTGCGGCCGCCTCCCAGTTGGGGATAGATCCTGGTCAGGAACTCGTACAAGTGCGCAGCCACGAGACCATAAAGCCCGAGGAAGAAATCCTGAATGCCGCCAGGGAACAACAGGCTTACGCCAATCATGGCGTACGGCATCAGCGGCGCAGGCAAGGGAACAAACATGTAGTTCACCTGCAGACCCTGCTGCTGCTGCGAAGCAGTATAGGTGAGCGCGACAATGAGGCCGCGCGTCAGCGCAAAAAAGGGCATGATGGCGACAAAGTAATCAAGGATCTGACCGAGGAAGTTAGTCAGAAGTTCAAAAGCAAGGTTGCTCGTCGCTTGCAAAAGAAAAAGAAGGCTACGAAAAAGACTAAGGCAAAAGACATAAAAATGTAGGGGGCTAGAAAACCACTCGAGTGAAAATAAGATTCGCACGAGCCATCCATATAGACATCCCACCATGCCTATACCGCCCACCAGTCCTGTTTGCGAATGATGGACCGGAGGGAAGTACAGGGGTGATCTTCCTCATATTCAGGAACCGTGACAGCTGTAGAGGCAAAGCGCTGCCCGGGCAGTATGATGAGGTGTGACGCGTAGCGCGCATTGAGAAAAACGACAACGACAAAGAAAAAAGACCGAGCGAGCGAGCGAAACGGGAGGTAAAAAACTTACTGCAATGAAGCTGCACACGCAAATGAGATACCATATAAAGTCCTCTTTGCGTCGCAGCCGCGGATGGCCCGTCTCCAGGTCACTAGCCGCCTTGTAGAAGAAGTACGTGTCAAACAGCAGGCCAAGCTGGGGTCCAGTGATGAGGAAGCCCGTCACGAGGCGCCATATTTGCGGCGGGAACCGCAGGATATAGCTGGCATGCCATCCTAGCCATTGGCTTGGAATGAAACCAAAATATAGACCGACCGAGCTGACAAACATCCACGTGGCCAGAGTACTGCGCGAATCGGTTAGCATTGTCCAAGAACTGGCAGAAGAATGCGAAGAGGAACATACCGAGAGATGGGCGGCAAGCGCCAGTACTGCTCCGTGATTGTGTTATCAGGCATGGTGTGCTACGAAAGAGAAGCTCTCGATTCTCAGGTGGTGATGTGCGTGGCAGTGAAGCTCTTGTCTGTTTCTCGAAAAACGCTGAGATGAAACAAAAAGCTGTCCCGTGCGAAAGGAGGAGCCTAGGTGTGAAGCTTCCTTATGATGCAGGGGTGGAAAAAAGAACGAGCGACACACAAGCTCCAGGCAACGATGGGGGGGGAGGTGTCTTGCGTAGCTGGCGTGCTATCGTGTCATCTTCGTTTTTTTTTGTACAGGCAGAGTTTTGGCGCAAGCTGTCTAGTGTGCAGACGGCCGGTTTTGTGGACCGTAGCAAATTTCGGCGCTTGCCCCATTCTGACCAGACAATGCCGTTAGCCGAGTATAAGCGTTTATCGGGGCGCGTGCAGCTTACCCTGTATGTAGATGTAAATTGGATAGTCCTTGATATGAGAGCTTGTTTCTCGTTGAACTGTCACATTTCTAACTAGTGTAGAGATTTACTTTGAGGATCTGTCGAAGTATGTGAATCGAGTTTGTTCGGCTGCGAGAGTGAGGTGGTGCCTCGGTCTCGAGTTGCTGTTTGGTCGCGTGCCCGCTATTACATCAACACTCGTATCGGCACTTTCAGGTTCCGTCACAAACACTTCTCACACCATATTCACAACCCAATCATGCCGTCACATAGTCCCCTCAAAACAGAAGAAGCCAATGCGGCCAGTTGGGAAGCTGCAAAAGGAGCAGGCATAGGAGCCTCGAAATGGGGCGCGGGAGCCATGGTTCTCGCTGCCATCGGCCATGTTTGGTCGCCGGTCTACCGGGGCACCACGGTACAGTTCAAAGTGTACGCCGTCCATTGCCCAACGACTTCTCTTGTATGCTAATCGGCGCCAGGTTCGTGCAAATGTCCGCCATGGTGCTCGGCGGCATGATTGAGGCCGACCACAGCCTCCGCCTATACGAATACCAAATGCGCATGCAAAGGCGCGTGCAAAGGGAGCAGGCCAAGTGGGAGCGCTACCAGGACGAGTTCATCCAGGCTAACAACAAAAAATGATACACGGAAATGGCATCGAATTCATCATCCATTTCAAACTGATAAACTATCCCTGATTCTCTCTTTTACATCCACCTCCATTCATATTCACCATCATGTACGAATAGCCAGATTGTTAGGCCAAAGACCAACTCCAACGCCAAATGCAAATGCTTAACATTTCCTCACATATTTTTATTTTGCCTGGAAACGCTTGGGATCCATGTTTATCTTGCATAGCCTCACTACGCAGCCGCTCAGCTGCAGCAACGTCTGCACGCCCTCGAGAATTTTCATGTGCGTGAAGCCAATCTCCTTGATGAACTCGAGCTTTGAATGTTCGCTCAGCGTCGGAATCGTCTTGGTGACTTTGAACATAGTGCTGATGATGTCGTGGCTCGAGTATCCGAGGTCCCACAACTCACGCAGCGCGTCGAGTGCCGAGTCGACGTTGCCCTCGTAGCAGGCCTTGATCATCGCCTGCACCTTGATCGGATGCGGCGAGTCCACCACTTTGAAGACGTTGTCGCCCGAGACGAAGCCGAACCCAGAATAGGTCGACTGCAGGTTGTTGATGGCTTGTCGCATATCGCCTTCAGCGCTAAAGACAAGCGCGGCCAACCCGTCGTCGCTGTATTCCACCTTTTCGGCCTCGATGATCTGCAGCAGCCGCTTGACGACCTGCGCGTCGGTGAGCTTGGCGTAGCGGAGGATGGCGCATCGGGATTGGAGGGGCTCGATGATCTTGTTGGACATGTTGCATGCAAAGGCGAACCGTGTCGTGTTGGAGTAGATTTCCATGGTGCGCCGCAGAGCCTGCTGCGCGCCCGATGTCATGCTGTCGGCCTCGTCGAGGATGATGAGCTTGTGGCGGCCGGGCGGCAGCGTCACCTTTTTTTGCGCAAAGCCCTTGATTCGGTTGCGCACAACGTCAATGCCGCGCTCATCACTGGCGTTGAGCTCGAGGACAGCCTCCTTATACGACTCGCCCAAGAGCTCACGCGCCAGGCAGAGCACGCTCGTCGTCTTGCCGATACCAGGCATGCCGGATATGATGACGTGCGGCATGTTGCCCTCTTTGGCAATGATTTTTAGTCGTTCAATCGTTTCGGTGTTGCCGACAACATCGTCGAGGAAGACGGGACGATACTTTTCGACCCTATCCGTAGCTTGTTAGCAGGTGCTCAGATGCGGCGTAAGAGTCGTGCGAGTGACTTGCCATGGCAGCTCATAATTGGGGGCTCCATTTGTAGAGGCAGAAAGGGCTGATTTGGTAGCAGTAGTCGAGGACTCGCCCTTTTCTTCGGCTTTGGCGGCTGGCATTGTGAATCAACAGGCTGGTGAAATAATGAGGGTGCAGCAGGTAGCACTTAACGCGATAGGAAGACGCGTTTTGGTAGTTCTAGTGCTGGCATCCCGCTGAAAGCCCATGTGGCCCGTGCGCGCCAACCGCTCTGGTGGGTGTGCCCAGAAAAAAGTCGTCTCCAGCCTCCAAGGTGGACTTGGAAATTTCGACACCTTTAAATTTTTACCGATTGCATTCAACGACACATACGACACACCAAGTCCCTCGCGACGATAAAAAACGAACCTGATTCGACAAAGAAACGCTTCCTATATCCATCTCCCGAAACAAAAAACCAAAATCATGGGTGTGGCAAAGAAGACGAGAAAGTTTGGCCTTGTATGAAGCCTTATCGATAAGCCACGAAATCAAACTGACGAAAGAAATCACACAGGTCAAGCGAGTACTTGGCAAGAGCGACGGGCGACGGAAGGAAAACATAGCGAAACAAGAGGCTCTGCAGAAAAACAAGCAAAGGACGACGGTCCAGGGCGAGCTGGTGCGTGAGGTGACGCAGATGCCCAGCAACATGTTCTTCCAGCACAACACGGCCCTCGTACCGCCCTACAACGTCCTCATCGACACCAATTTCCTCAGCCACACGGTGCAGCGCAAGCTGTCGATGCTCGAGTCAATGATGGACTGCCTGTACGCCAAGTGCAACCCCATCATTACCACGTGCGTCATGTCGGAGCTCGAGAAGCTCGGCCCCAAGTACCGCCTGGCCCTTCGCGTGGCGCGCGACGAGCGCTGGCAGCGCCTCACCTGCGACCACAAGGGCACCTACGCCGACGACTGCCTCGTAGACCGTGTGCAAAAGGACAGGATATACATTGTGGGCACCAATGACAGGGCCCTCAAGCAGCGGCTGCGCAAGATTCCGGGTGTGCCACTCATGAGTGTGGCGCGGGGCAAATATGTTATAGAGAGGCTGCCGGGTGCGCCGGATTCATGAGAAAAGTTCGGATGCATTTGGACTGTATTTGGAATTTAGCGAATTGATTTTGACATGTCAATGTTTGCACAGCCCCGTTCCTGAAATTGTGCGCCCAGAGAGTCCCTCAAGTTCTCCGAAAGAGGTTGTTTCAGCAGAAGGATCAGCTCTTCTGAGTAAAATGCATGTGCCGGGGCGCGCCACGCTACGTTGTTTGTCATGAAACACCCCAGATCCTGACATTAGCTAAAATAAGAGTTGAGCAGTATGCGATAGGTTTCATTTCTTCGTGATCGACGGCCAATCCGTTGGCCATTGATGAGACGAAGCGTGTCAGCCATCGGACGATCGAGTTTAAATCAGTTCACCAAATGGCCTTGCATTGTGGAAGTCTCTATCCGTGACATGCTGGTCATGGCTGACGCCGGATATGTTCGCTGCCTGATCCGTGGCTTTTGCGCCTGGCAGTATGGTAGGTAAGAAATAGTATTTGCTCTGATTATACTCCTCTATAGTACTGGATTGCAAACTGACTCTAGATGCCTGCTATTGACAGTACGTTTCGGCTGACGCCTTGAAAAAACGGGACCCTATATCACGGTCAGCACGGCGAGAATTTATAGGGTGTTTTAGATCATAATATTGTGTGATCATCTTGCCCTACAAATTCTGATGTGACGGAACGTGACGCTGAGGATCTAACGACATGCTGAAACTCCAGTATCATGTGCAGAGACTTGCACCGCCCAGCTCAAATTCGATGACTTCGGTCTCCATGGGAGGAATACATAAAAAGAAATGAATCCCTCGGAACCAACCTACACACTTTTTTGAGACAAGTACACTACGCAAACGTCTAAGTTTTACAAGCTAAACCACTTACACCAACTGCCTTCCACTCCTTTCACGTATGTATCATTGGCTTACTATACAAGGGATACGTTTTCTAACAAGAAGCAGAACCTTCATTATGAAGCTTTCAAACCTTATCACTTCTTGCCTTGCAGGCCTGACCGTCGCAGTTCCCGCGGCTGGCCGTGGGAACCTACAGAAACGCGATGTCTCGGGCAAGGGCCTGTCTGAACTACTCGACTCTCTCATTCCTTCCAACAATGGTGCCTCCAATGAGGGCGCAGCCAACAACGGCGCAGGCGCCGGTGGCCGCGAAGGCCTTTTGGGGGGTCCGCTGAAGGATATACTTGGCGGCCTGGACCTTGGGAATCTTGGTAACTTGTTAGGCGACGGCGCCGGGGGCAATGAAGGAGGTAACAAGGGAGACCTTGGGAATCTTGGTGAGTTGCTAGGCGGCGGCGCCGGGGGCAATGAAGGAGGTAACAAGGGAGGAAAGAATGGTGGCAATGCCGAGGGCAACGCTGGCGATGCTGGCAACACTGGTGACGCTGGAAATGCAGGAGATGCAGGTAATGAAGAAGAAAATGCAGAAAATGCAGAAAATGCAGGAAATGCTGGCGACGCTGACGACGCTGGCAACGCTGAACATGGAGGAAATGTTGGCAACGCTGGAAATGCAGGAAAAGCAGAACAATCAGAAAAGGGAGAAAAAGCAGGAAATGCAGAAAATGCAGGAAATGCAGGAAATGCAGGAAATGCAGAAGAAGCAGGAAATGCTGAAGAAGCAGGAAATGCAGAAGAAGCAGGAAATGCTGGCAATGCTGGCAACGCCGACAACGCTGGAAATGGAGGAAATGGAGGAAATGCAGGAAACGATGGAAAAGGCGAAAAAGGCGAAAAGGAGAAAAAGGAGAAAAAGCAGGAAATGCCGGCAATGCTGGCAACGCCGACAACGCTGGAAATGGAGGAAATGCAGGAAAAGCTGGCAACGCTGGCAACGCTGGCAATGCTGACCAACCAACTGAACCGGATAATGAGACCCTCAAGAAGGGCCAGTCCAAGAACAACTGAAGAGCGACGAGTGCTTGGGACAAGTAGTCCCTTGACCACAGAAATGATGGCTTTGTATGAACAAGGATCTGAAGCAGTTTAGAGACATAGGTATTACGAGGCTGGATCTCATTCAAGCTCCAAGAAAAATAAAAGATTTTTGAACAACGTGCCGATTGATCCAACAATAGACACGACCCAGCCAACGATCGGTATAAGTGCTCACTGGCAATGGCTTTGGGAACTAGGAGCGGCTTCATCAGAACTCTAAAAGATTGAAAAACACCCAATTGAAGCTCGAACTATTGTTTGTAGACAAAGGTTTATTGCTCATGAAAAGATCTTGAATAATAAATATTTTACGACTTTTGCCTTGAGAATAAGCTACACCCGAAGCTCACACAGACGCCGAACCCCTCACCCACTTAAGCCGTCGGTTGATAAAGAGTACATTACCCGATAAAGGAGCACCTTTCTCCATACCAACTCACGCACTACAACTAACAATCTATGGCGCCGCCAACCAATAGCCGTTCTATTCGCTGGCCTGTTGCAGTTGGATTTAGAGCACACATTTTCTCCAGCTGTGCCTCCAACCCCGCCGCGAGCACCATCGATGGATCTCGGCCTCGACGGCAAGGCACTCCCGCCGGTGCCGCCGCAGAAGCGCTCGCGCGTGCTGCTGTCCTGCGCGCCGTGCCGCGGCTCCAAGCTCAAGTGCGACAGGCACCAGCCATGCGGGCAGTGCGCGAAAAAGGACCGCCCCGCGGCCTGCGTGTACGCGCCCCGACCCGTCAAGAGGAAGCCGCCGCCCAGGGGCATGTCGGCGCGCCTGAAGCGGCTCGAGGGCATGGTCCGCAGCATGATGGAGGCGGAAGAGGAGGAACAGGCTGCTGATGGGAGAACGGAGCGCGAGGAGGAGACGGATGCGCGAGCGGCAAGGCCGGCGCAGGGCCAGGTGGTGCGTAGTGCGCAGGGCTCGACGTATGTGGGAGCGACGCACTGCTTGGCGATGCTGGAAGATGTGAGTGCATGCCCCAACATGATATTGTGTGGACTGCTATTGACCTTCTCTACAGATTGAAGATATGAAGACGTATTTTGATGATGAGGATGACGAGGTGGACGACGACTCTCCTGGGATGGACTTGGATGCCGCTGAGATGCTACTCAGTCCACGAGGCGGACCGGCTAGTCGTGAAGAGCTCATTGGGCACATACCAGAAAAACACATTACGGACAGGCTAATTATGAGATATTTTTCTTCTTCAAGCCCATCGCAATGCAAGTCCCTTATCAATCTCGAAGTGGCCATGATGCTAACTAGCTTCTCAGTTTGTGTACACAAACCAACATTTACTAAGGCAGTGAGGAGCTCTCCCCTACTATGCGAGGAACTCAGCTAACGAAGAATATAGTATGCACAATTCTGGCAGGATCCAGACAGTGTCTCACTCCAATGGCTTGCGCAGCTCTTCATGATGCTCGCCCTCGGCGTCGTCTTCAACCACTTCTCCGCGCCCGACGAGCTCCGGGCCGAGTCCGCGACGCCGGCCCTGCAGCGCATCCAGAAGCTGCGCGCCTGCGCCGGCTGGGCCCTCGTCTGGAGCAAGTACACGAGCCCGACAGCCGAGACGATCCCGGCCTTTATCCTCTACGTCGAGGCCTACTTCCTCTTCAGCCGGGCCGCGCAGATGAGCTGCTACACGCTGTCGGCCGTGTGCCTGCGGCTGATGCTCAAGCTCGGCATGCACCGCGACCCGGGCGGGCTCGCGCACCTCTCGCCGTACGAGTGCGAGATGCGCCGCCGCTGGTGGAGCATGGCTTGCCAGGTCGAGCTGCTCGTGTCCTTCCACATGGGCCTCCCGAGCATGCTCGGCAGCGGCCTCGCGTCCGACGCTGCCGTCCACGGCCACCACCCGGACGAGGACTTTGGCGAGGACACCACGGAGATGCCGCCGCCCCGGCCGCTGGCCGAGTACACGGCGCTGTCGTACTCGGTCCACAAGACGCGGATCCTGCGCGTGTTTGGCCGCATCGCGCAGCAGGCGCACGCGCTGGCCCCGCCGTCGCACGCGGCTTCGATGCGGCTCGACGCCGCGCTCAACGACGCGTGGGACCAGGTGCCCGCGCAACTCCGAGTGCGGCCTCTGGAGCGGTGCGTCGGCGACGCGCCGGCGCTGCTCATCCAGCGCTACGGCATCGAGGCGCTGTACCACAAGGCGCGGTGCGTGCTGCACCGGCGGCGCCTCTCGGGGCCGGCGGTGCTCCGCGCCGAGCACGACTACGCGCGGCAGCAGTGCGTCGCGGCCGCCGTCGCGCTGCTCGACGTGCAGGCCGTCGTCTGGGACGCCACGCGCCCGGGCCGCGTGCTCAGCGCGTGCGGGTGGTTCGTCACGTCGTTGGCGGTGCACGACTTTATGCTCGCGGCCATGGTCGTGTACGTTGTGCTGTGCGGCGCGCACTACCCGGAGCACCCGGGCGGCGGTGATGATGAGCGGTGGGCGGCGGCGCCGGGCACCCGGCTGCGGTCGAGGGAGGAGCTCAAGACGATGCTGCGCCGGTCGCATGCTATCTGGTGCCGTGTCTCATCGACGGTGGCCGAGCTGCGCAAGACGAGAGACACACTAGCCGTTATGCTGGCCAAGCTGGGTTGTCCCGTCGACGACGAGAGCGTCCCGGCGGCGCCGATTGGGTCTGATGCTGGACCCGAACAGCACATGCCGCCTCCGCCGCCGCTGATTTCGAGCGGGCAGCTGTCATCCGCGACTGCATCTGCTAATCAGGCTTACAGCGGCGCCGAGGCCACACACGACTTGAACGGTATGGCATGCATGCATATTGCGCGAATTAGCGCCCTTGGCATTCGCTCGTGATTGTAGTACGATAGCTGTGAAGAAAGGCTGACAGTTTGACCTAGGCACGATAACCAGTACAGACTTTTCCGGCTTTGCCCTGCCGCTGGTCGCCAGTGACCCGAGAGTGGTGACATTCCCGGGGGCGGAGGGGACGAGTTTTGGAGATGACCTGTCAGGAAAGGGAGCCTCGGCTGTTGGAGATGGTGGCGAGGGTATCTTTGGTATGGTCGAGTTTGACTCGTCGTGGATGGGTGACGACATGGATTGGGTACGTCAAGATGGCGTCTCGGAGTGGCAATGATGCTCACATTTAAGGGTATGAACGCTCATGGCTAATTCCTTTTTAAAATGCAGACACAGATGGACGTTTTTTCATCAACGAGTGACGGCGCGGGAAACTTGGGACATGGCGAGAGCCTGGATGAAACATTGACACGGAGCATGAATATGGGCAATGGATGGTGATTGTGAATAACGAGGTGTGGGCGTTATGGACTGGAAATACTTGGCATCCTGAAATACAGAGTACATGAGTAATATCTCAACTGTCATTTATCCGTTAACATGTGCCAACAGCCTAATTATGGCGGCGCTGTTTCTCTTGTCGATGCGACTTGTGATAAGAGCTCGTGCAGTAATTCGCTATCAGCAGGGCTAGAGATAGCAAGCAAGCCGGGGTCGTGCTCTGATTACAGTATTGCGCCATTGCTATTAATTGACAATAGAACATGTACAATTGAACAAATCGAATCAGTTGTCCACGCTAGATTGAAACGCAATCTGCTTTCCGTCAGGGGAGAGGCTGGCCATCGGGCCGAGACTGGAGAGATGCAAAGACAAGAGCGGGGGAGGAAATTGTACGGGGCAGACAAGGAAGGTCAGAAAATGTTGGGGAAATGCATGGAGAAGCGGGGAGACCGAGGCACTGCATGAGATGAAGCTTGCTGGAGCGTGTCTTGGCGTCATTGCAAAGAGAGCCGAGTCGCGCAGATCAACAACCGATTTCGAGTATAACATTGAATTGATGGAACCATCGCAGCCATGGTTTACATCTGAGTCTCCTCTTTGACTTGCATTTCTGAGAGCAACCGAGTGCGAAAAGGCGGACGGACGGCGAGGGCCCGAGAAGCAAGTGAGGCGGGACATGGGGTTTGGTGGCGTATGCGTCGTGGCATGAGCGTGTGACTTTTTTATATCCCGAGCTAGGTGGATTTGGAGCACATAATGCAATGTTTTATCCCGACTGGGAAAATCACAAAGCCGTTGAGGTAGCCAGGGACCCAGGCCACTTCGAGCTGAGGCGTTGTCTATGCAAGCTAGCAGTGGCTGCATATGGCACGGGCATGGGTTTCGCAACGAGAATGGCGGCAGAGAAGATGCCGAACACCGAACAACAATGTAGGTGGAAATCAACAACGGCCATCAACGACTCGGCCGTGGACCAACGAACGAGACAATCTCGGAAGGGCCTACCGACACCAATACGGAAACAATGAATGATGCGCCAACAACGACGGAGGAGCAACCATATCGTCGAGAGATCCAATTGGTTGTTACGCGCAGAGAGTTCGCCTACCATTGGATCCCCAAGCCTCGTTATTCTGGATGCCAGCCGCCTGATGAGGCGCCGAGCCTGGCTTTTTGACCATGGCCCAGATTGTGCGAGTCAGAAGAGGTCTCGAAAAGGGGCCGATGCGATTCAACAATAGCTGGTGGAGTAGTCTGTTATCTGGCATACATACTCTCTGGGTAGCGGCTGATATTTTTGCGCCCAGCGTTGATCTTCCCCAACGTGGGCTTTACCTTGACCACAATCTTTATCGGACAACAACTGGAGAGTAACACGATACAGTGGGTTTCGACTGTATTGATTGTGGTTTTGGTAGCAATCTGGCTGCTCCAATTGTTCAATATGGAGAATTTTCATCTCCATGTTTCGAAATGGAACAAGGACCTTGTCGTGAAGGGCGGGTTGTCACTGGTTGACTGGCTGGTCTGCCAGCCCAGGACCGAATGGTAGTCATCACCACTTGCAAAGGTCATTGCGGAAACGTAGTTAGGTGTAGTGAGCGGTTTGGGAGGCGGCGCTTTCCTTTCATTCCGCATTATTTCGATACAGCGATCGGATGAATGAATCTTTTCCTTGTTAAATTGCATCATCCATTTGCAAGCTGAAAGCCGACCCAGGCTATACTGGAATAGGCAGTTCTTCGTTATCAGTTCCCTTTTTCTTCACGGCAAGGCGGTGCCAGCTTCCGTCCCTCGACCCTCCCCCCCGGCTCCGCGGCGCCCGTCCCCTCATTCTGGCTTGGGCTAACTAGTTAGTGGCTTGGTAGTCTGCCGAACTGATAACAGTAGACCGCCGAGAGGGTTCTAGTCGGGGCTAAAGGCCGGACAACTGGAGTAAGAAAAATTTGTGTCGACTCACGCGCGCACCGTGGATAAGTGGCGCTGGCAAGTTGCAGGGTTGTCCAGCCCACCCCTCAGTACTGGCATGTAGTGTAGGGTGTAATTCGTAAAAAGGGTTGAGGTAAGGCAAAAGGCGAATAGAATAAGAAGAATAAGAAGAATAAACAGATCAGAATGATGAGGCTAAGAAGATAATAAGAATCAAGATAACAATTAAGAGAATAAAGAAACAAGGAAGATAATAGGCAAGTTGCAAGCAGTGCAACTGGTGGTGTGGCAGGGCCCAAACGAGGCGCTGATCTCGAAGCCCCAAACCCGCGTCCTAGAGCAGGGTTCGTCTAACTAATGTCATGGCGATAAATCGACGATACCAGTGATGTTATCTTTGTTGACGTATTGCTTCGGTTTGCTGTAGCAATCGTAGATAAGTGGTTATGTAAGACCAGCAGTACCTGACAGGCTGACTGCTGACTGACAGCTGGCAACTTCGCTGCGTTTGCATCCGTCGGGTGTTGCTTCCTTGCTCATACAAACTGCTGCCATCACCACTTTTCAGGTTTACAACATCATCAAAATTAGAGCATCTCATCCATCGTCGATTATTTCAATCCCTGCAAACTTCCGCTGCATCTGCCCGCCACATATTCAGCAAGGTTTTGCTTATCAGCTGTGCCTCCCCGCCATCGCCGATAAGCCTTTGTTTCGCATGCCCCAGCTCAATCTTCAACTGCAGTGATTGATTGTCAAATCTGGCTGTCACTGGTTTTTTTTCTCCTTCAACCACCTTTTACTACTGTACATGTTTTTTTCTGCTTTGCGCTTTTCGAAAAAAAAAAGACACCAGGTCCTCTACAACGAATTCATCGACAAAAACGGCGCCTCCCCGGTATCGCTCGCACCCCCGCCCCCTCCGACGCAAGCTTTCCGCGTCCTCTCAAGGTCGATCTCGCTTCGGCAGCTTCTACCGCGACGGTCCGGAACAAACAACCGGTCCTTGTTCCTTGTCCATTGTTCGCCAGCTTCGCCCACGCCGAACCCTATATTCCATTCGTGCCACGCTACTCACCCGCCTCAACTTACAACGCGCTGGTCGCTTTCACATTGTGTCTTGTCTTTCCTCGTCTTCACCACGAGCGCGCATCATCCGTCTTGTCCACTTTCTTGCCCCGCCAAAGTGCTCAACACTAATCCAGACTCTACGCCTCCGCAAGACACGACATCCCACCTGCTAGACTTGCAGCCCGCTATTCTCGACTCGTCTGGCTCTAGCAAAACTCTCACTTTTGCAGACCCGCGTCTTGCCGCCGGCCCTGTCTCCCGCTCTGCCTTCAGCTCCGTCGCGCCTTGTGCAACTGGCCCACTATCGTACAGCTTTTTTTACGCACACTCTTCTTGCCTCTCCTCCATCTCTCCCTCTTCGCGCTCTCCAGCAGGCACATGGCCTAAGACACGAGCCCTGGTTGCACCTCTGGAAACCCCACCACCACTTCGAGCCGTGGACGGACTCTTCCTCTCCTCGTGCGCCTCTCGCCCGCTTTGCGCTCGTCGGCCTCGTTCTTCACCTCTCTTGAACTCTTTGGCCTCGGTCCTTTGACGGCGTGCGCCGTACGGCTTTTCTCGCGTCCCTTTCACCTCGAGCTGTCCACCTCACTCGCCGGTTTGACCTTGTACCACCTCTTCGGGCACCCACTGCGACAATGCCCACCCAAATTAATCCCAAAATAAATCCCATGTCGGCCAGCATTCCCATCCGCATCAACACGGCAGAACCTCCCTTCTACCGCAAACAACACAAACATTCGAGATCCTCCTACTCGGAATCCTCTCCTCTAGCTGGCTCTAGGAACAACTCCCTAACATTTCGCCCTCCTAAGCGATTCATGTCCTCTCCAGACAAGACCATTGCCGTCATCAACGCCAGTGGCCGTCAAGCGGCTTCACTGATCCGTGTCGCAACTGCCGTCGGATACCATGTTCGAGCCCAGCTTCGCAATAAGGAGGGCGTGATTGCTACAGAGGTCGCGACGAATCCAAATGTCACCTGTATAGTCGGTGAGCTTTACACCAGACACCAGCCCACAGAAGCCAACAAGGATGTTACTCAAAACGGCCCTCTCTCCGGTGTCGGTGTAAATCACGACCTCATCAACAACCTCTTCCGCGGCACTCAGCTCGCCTTCATCAACACCACTTTTTACGGCGACGAGCTTGCCATTGGCAAGGCTCTTGCTGACGCTGCCAAGAAGGCCGGGGTTCAACACTACATTTACTCGTCCATGCCCGATCACGCCGCTTACAACAAAAACTGGCCCTCCCTTCCGCTCTGGGCGGCCAAGCACAAGGTTGAGGACTACGTGCGCCAACTCGACCTACCCGCCACTTTTGTCTACACTGGCATCTACAACAATAACTTCACATCTTTGCTCTACCCGCTCTTCTGCACCGAAATTCAAGACGATGGCTCTTTTGTATGGCAAGCGCCTTTCCACGAAGATGCGAAGCTCCCCTGGCTCGACGCCGAGCACGATGTCGGCCCTGCCATTCTGCAACTTTTCAAGGACGGCGTTTCCAAGTGGCGAAATGAGCGCATTGCCCTAGCGTACGAATATCTGACACCCAAAGAGGCTTGCGAGGTCTTTTCTCGCGGCGTTGGTCGCCCTGTGCGCTATGTCCGCGGCCCCATCGACATCAAAGTTCGTATTCCAGCCGGCTATAGAGAGCAGCTGGAAGCTTTGGAAAAGCTCTTTAGCCCCGACGAGAAAGACCCCAAGAAGCAGCCGCCCTACTTCGGCTGTGCCAGGTTGGAAGCCAACTGCCCCGCTGAGGCGTTGGAACTATGGGAAGGGCCCCGCGGCCTCGAGGAGTACGCTCGCGAAATGTTTCCTCTCGAAGAGGAAGCGAATGGCTTAACATGGATGTTCGAAGACGACGAAACGGATGGTGGTGACGAAAAACTACAGTACGCTACTGTAGCGGTCGAGCAGCTGCGGCTACATGACGACGACGCATTCGATTCCGACGACGACGAAGAAGACGGCCTCGTCATGCGGGGCTTGAAGCGAGACGAAGAGCAGTGGCTAGCATAGCGCAGTAGCGCAGCCATGCCAATAATGATTCCTTATATTGTTATAGCAGCATATTATTCATGTTGAAAAGAAAATGATGAAATTGTTTTACGGAGTTTTTGGGAATGGCACAAAAATGTGGGTTAGCACTAGGGAGACAAAAAAATAAACCGCTTGTAGTAATACTATGTATTATCTACCATATTCCTTTGTTTTCTTCATCATTATCATCTTGATAATTCGCTTTACCATTCTCAGCTTTCTTATCCTTGTTCACACCAAAATACTTGCATCTTGTCCCATCGTCGGTCCGACTGAGCAAGTGGACAGTAAACAACAATCTGCAGCGTTCCGCTATCATAGGATAAAGGTATAGAAAAAAAAACAGAAACAGTACAAACTAATTAAGTGGCACTCTTCTTATCCAGCCCCTTTTCATCGAGCGGCGCAAGCTTCTCGTCGCTATGCTGCTTGTCCATTTGGCCCTCGGGAAGCTCATTGAGCTCGTCTTCATGGATATCCAAGTCTCTGAACTGAAGGTAGAAGCATGTGCCGGCAATCACGGCCAGGATGGCGACAATGGAGTAGTTCCAGACCAGGAGCGGATCCGTCGAAAGACCGGTAAAGGCCTGGCCAATGGCGGAGGCAAAGGCGACGGAGAAGAGAGCAATGGCCTGGACCATGCTGCGCATGTTCTTGGGGGCCTTGGAGTAGGCGTACTCGAGCGAGGTGATGGAGGCAAAGACCTCGGAGAGGGCAATGAGCACGTAGGCGCCCGTCTGGGCCCAGACGTTGATCTCGACGGGCGGGCACTTGATCGTTTCTCCGGGGTTGTTGGGATCGGGCATCGTCTTGGAGGCATACTTGCCGCAGGGGGAGCGTTGGTAGATGTAGTACTGCACGACGGCGGCCCAAATCATGGCGGCGGCGCCGACGAAGAAACCAGCGGTGATTTTGCGAATGGGCGTCACGCGGAAGCCAGCCTTGCGCACGGCCGGGTAGATGAGGAAGTTGTTGAGGGGAATGAAGATGAGTAAAGAGAAGGGGTTGAGGTTGGAGAGGATATCGTTGGGGACGCCATGGCGCTGGAGGACGGCGGCTTGCGAGACGAGGTTGTTGTTGACTGCTGTTGTTAGCTTCTTGTACTTGGGTAAGGAGGCCATGGGAGAGAGCAACGTCAGGACGAGGACGCGGAAACTTACTTTGGTTGTAGCAGAGCCAGAAGATGGGGTACCAGCAGAAGACGGCACAGGCATTGAATCCACGACGCAGCTCGTCCACCCACGCATCATCAAAGGTCATCCACTTGGGACGGCTCTCAGCGGTAAAGGAAGAGGGCTTGACCGCTTCCCAAAACGTTCCATCATGCATGTTGCGCCAGGTAGACATGGGGTTGATGGACCAGCGACCGCGCTGGGCCAGGAAAAACGTCTTGAAGGCGGGCACCATGACGGAGCCGTCGGGCGGGCGATGAATGTAGCGTTTGCGACCCCAGAACATGACGGCGGGACAGAGGGCGAGCATGATGGTGGGCAGGACAAACGAGAGCCAGAAGCCAACGTACTGCTCAGCGTAGACCATGGTAATTTGACCGACGAGGGCGCCCACGTTGATGAAGAAGTAGAACCACATGTAAATGCGCTCCGTGGTGATGGCGGGGTCGACAATGACGCGCTCGCCCGTCTTGGGGAGTGTCTTGACATAGAGCCGCTGGTCGCCCAGCTGCTCGGCGATGAGACAGGATACATTGGGCTTGAAGCCGCCGGTGCCGAAGCCGATGATGATGATGGCCAGGATCAGCAAGCCGAGCGAGGCCGACGAGTTGACGATGATGGGCGGGATGGCCGAGAGGATCAGAAATGCGTGGCCGATGAGATCGACACCGAGAGCCCAGCTTATGGTCTTGAAGCGGCCCCAGTGAGCATCGGCAACGTACGCACCGAGAAGAGGCATAAAGTACTGCCAGAACTGGTTGAAGGTGGTGATGCCGGTCGACGCGCGCTGGCCCATGCCGAGGGCGCCGGGCTGGTCGGTGGACGCGCCGGTATTAGAGCCGGGCGGGAGGGCCTGCTGGATGAAGTTTGTGACTAGGCACAGATTAGCACTAAACCTCGAGGAGACAGGGGGTAGGGAAAGACTTACAAACGACGGTCGAGCCATAGTAAGAGAAGCGCTCGCAAAGCTCGATAAAGGCAATGGTGTAGAGCTTGATAGGGATCTTGTCAGGGACACGGCGCAGAGTTGCGAGCTCCTCCGTCGTGGGGCCGGGCAAGTCCGAGTTCAAGACATCGCCAGTGACCCGAGCATCAGCATTGGTCGCGTCTGTTTCGGTGACGGCGATGAGCGAGCTCTTGGGCTCCTCTTGGGCTTCGGTGGTGCGCTGCTCGGCACCCACGATGGGGTCGGCAACAGCATCACCAGCGGCCATTGTAGGTGTCGGCGATGGATGAACTGCTTGAGAGACCACAGACTACCGATGAAGAGCGAAGAATTTGAAGTAAGAAGATTTTGGAAGAGTGCCAAGGGAAAGGAAAGTGACTACCTATGCAGGATGCCGGTTGTCTTATATGATGTATGCGGGGTGTGTCACTCCGAGGCTGACATGGAAGGTGCAGCTGCTTCGCTCCTTCCCGAGACAAGGATTGATTCTGGGGCAATGACCGCATAATAAATACAAAGACAGAGACAAGTACAGGGAGAGGTGGACGGGTAGGAGCATTTTTTTCGAGGCCTTGCCGGGGTTGTTCACTCGAAAAAGTCAGAGCCCCGACAAGGTTGCCAAGTAGACTGGCGTTGTCGGGATCGATGCCCCATGCGGATTTGGCCTTGGCTTGTCAGCTGGTATTATACTTGTGATTTTTTTGTTTTTTGTTGTTGGAAAGAGAGAGCTTGATTTTCTACTCGAGTGTTGAGCTGTCTTATTGATCATGACTGTACAAGTTCAACTGAACCTTCTCGAGGTACATGCCTTTCGCTTCACCCCTACGAGGTGTGTGGGGGAAGCGACGCTTATCGTACTGTAGTTGTGACATGATATTCTAAAGACTACTTTTAGCTCTCGTCCAAGGTCAACACCAAGGGCTAGGCGCCAATGTTAGGCGGAACTAAGTATATATATATATATATATTACTATTTTATATTATACTATCCCTAAAAAGGGTAAATAACGCCTATAGGGGCCTTATAAAAATAAACTAAAATATAAAATAAAAATTATAGGCTTATCTAATAGGTCTTATAAGGCTTTTACTAGTTAATTATAGGGTTAGTAAAAGGCCTCTTAGGGGCTAGTAATACGTCTAGGTAGGAGAGATTAAGGAGGAATATAGTAAGGCTACCTTAGGTATATCTTACTAAAAAATAAGCTATCTTTAGTAAGCTTTATATACTCTAGCTAACTAATACTAATAGTTTTATTAATATAGTTATATTAGCTAAACTATAAAGGTATTATCTCTCTTTATATCTTCTTATAGTAGAAGATATACCCTAGGGTCTTTCTCTTACTATAGTTATATATAAGTATAGTATTAGTATAGTAGAAGTGTTTATAATAAAGAGTAAAGTCTTTATAGCCTATTTAGGCTATAAAGAGGTAATAGAGTTTAAAGTAGATTAGTGTCTTTAACTCTAGGTTTAAGGTATTCCTTATTAGAAGGTTAAGTAAATAGTACTTATTAAGTTAATTAGCTTACTATTAGGTATTAAGCTATCTAATAGCTATATTAGTAAGGGTCCTCTTTATATAGTTATATATTAGGATATAATTATTTATTAGGGGTCTTATAGCTAAGCCTTCTTTAACTAGGTAGTTAATAATCTTATTACCTAGTATCCTATAGTACCCTAGTACTTATTATACCTATATTAAGGTATTAGCTATCTAGGCTAATTCCTAGAACTTTATTAGTAAGCTATAAGAAGATACTAAAATACCTCCTCTTAAGCCTATAATTACTACTATATTATCTAGATAGACTATTATCTTATCTATCTATAGTATAGTATATTAAATAGCTATTTAGAGTCTATACTTTATACCTTCTACTTCTATATTAAAGACTTTATTTAAGGGAGTTAGTCTTTTTCTTTAGTATATAAGTTTAGACCCTTAAAAGAAAGTATATCCTATCCCTATATTACTATTCTTATTTATTAACCTATCTAAAAAGATAGTAAGGTACTAGTCTATTCTTATTTATAGTTATTATTAGAAATCTTTAGTTACTATAGTCTTATCTTAGTAAGTATCTTTTAAAAAGTATACTAATAGCTATAGTAGTAGTCTTTTAAAGGCTAAAATGCTTTTATAGGCTATTATAGCTACTATTAGCCTTTATTATTATCTTAAGCCTATTACCTAGTTCCTTCTCTTAAAACCCTTAATCCTATATACTAGTAGGTACTTCTTATTAAGTAACCTAAGTTATAATATATAGTAATCCCTTATTTTATTAAAGAGTAACTATATTAAGGGTATACTTACCTTATATTAAAGTACTATTATTAGTATAGTTTACTATATTAGGATATAGCCTTATATTACTATAGTTAGGTACTTTTATATCTTATCTAGCTACTTTAATAGCTTAGTTTAAATAGGGTTAAAGGTTCTATTATAGTTCTTTTTATAGGAGGGCTTTATACTACCTATATATTAAAGTTCTACCCTAAAGAAAAGCTTTAAGATAACTATTATATAGATAGCTTATCTAATAAAAATAGGGGTAATACTTTAGAGTACTTAGCTAAGGCCCTTAATATACTATATAAGTATCCTTACTTTTACTATATAGTCTTTAATATAATTCTTAAAATTTAAGGAGGAGTCTAGGTATATACCTAGCTACTTTATCTTATTCTTAATAGGTACCTTATAGTTACTATAGTATAAGATATCTATATAAATCTCTTACTTATATAAAAAGAATATAACTTCTATCTTTAATAGGTCTAGGGTTATTTTATTATCTTTTATTATTATAATTATCTAATTTAGTATTTATTATATTCTAATAATAAGCTTAGTATAATCCTAGCTAGTTAGGAGTATACTATTATTATTTATATAGCTATATCTATATACTCTATTATATATATATTCTATACCTAATAGGAATAAGATAGATAATACTAGTAATCCCTAGGGGAGTCTATACTCTAGCTTAGTAAATTTACTTTAATAGTCTCTTATCTATATTCTTACTATTTATCCCTATAAGAAAGAATTTATTTATTTTAAAATACTCTTATACTACCCTTAGTAGGTTATAGTAAATAGGAGCTAGAGGCACTATACTATATTAAAGGCTCTTTAGATATTAAAGGTATAGAAGATAATATCTTCTCTAATAGCTATTACTAGCTTAGTATTATATATTAATACTTTAACTATATCTATTAATAATCTCTTTAAGAGGGCCTTAGCTATTATTAAAGGTAGTATATTATATTATATAACTACCTAGGTAATCTATTATATAATTAGTTATTCTATACCCTTTCCTAGGTAGGAAAGGAGGAATATTAATAATAATAATTCTTATATACTAATTAGGCTAAATAACCTATCTAGTACCTCTACTAATTATAAGGTAAGGAAAAACTAGAGTACCTAGAGGAAAACCTTATCTATATTTATAAGATCCTTTATAGTCTTATTTTAAAGTATATAGGGGTTTAGTAAGACCCTTCTTAATACTATATACTAGGTTTTTATCTATATCTTAGCCTATATCTAGCCTATACTACTTTAGCTAGCTAAGCCTATTAACTACCTTCTTTCCCCCTAGGTTTTTATCTATATTAAAGGGGTTATATCTAATCCTATATATCTTTAGACTAGTTAAGCCTATTATCCTCTTATCCTCTTAACCTCTTAGTTCCTCCCCCTCCTTTTTATTTTTATCTATATTAAGGGGAGCTATATTTAGCCCTATAAGTCTCTAGGCTAGTTAAGCTTAACTACTATTATAGCCTCCTAGCTTCTATAATACTTTTACCTCCCCTCTTTCTTAAGAGTCTTTAGCTCTTATCCTTACTTACTATCTTCTTTTACCTTTAATACCTTATACTTTATCTATATAAGTCTAAAGTATACCCTATAAAGGATATTATAATAGTACTCTTAGGGTTACTTTTAATTCTTATTATTATTAATCTATATTATATAATAGGACTTAGTAAATAAATAAATATATTTTCTTTATAACTATTAGCTTTTAATAGGGGCTAAGTAGTAATTTTAGCTATACTCTATTTAAATACTTATAGTTATTATTATTTTTTACTAGCTAGTATATAGCTAGTAAGTTATTATTTTAATTCTATTTATAGTTAGTAGGACCTTATATAAATAAGTAATTTAGAGTCTTACTAGCTATTAGCTAGTAGCTAGTAAGGGATAAAAGGCGTCTTTTTTCTTTCTTTTCCTTTTCCTTTTCTTCTTCTTTTATTATTAATATTATCTTCTTTATTTTTATTAGTATATCTTCTTTCTTTTCCTCTTTTACCTCTTCCTTCCCTTTTATATCCTTTTTTCTTATATTTATAGCCTTTCCTTATTAAATCCTACTATTCTTTATTAACTAACTTTATATAATTACTTTATAATATCTTATTTATTAACTCCTATTCCTATATTTAACTAAAAGAGGGTTTCTAGTCCCCTTACTAATCCTTCTAGTTCCCTAGCTATTAATATTATAATTTCTATTTACTTCTATATATACTCTTCCTTACTTCCTAAGCTCTTTATACCTACTAATATACTTTATTTAATAGTTAAGAACTTATAAGGTATTATATCTTCTTTTATATTAAAGCTTCTATATAAGTCTAGGTATATAGTTCTAGGATATCTTATAAGGAGTATCTTTAATTAGATTTACCTTATTATAGTTTATTAGTCTATTACCTAGTTTTCTTAATCTATTTTAAGTAGCTTAATTACTTTTATAAGTCCTTATTAGCCTTTACTTTATTTCTTACTTTTACTTCTTTTTCTTTTATTCTTTATTAACTTCTTATCCTTTTTCTAGTTTTTTTATAACTTTTAATATTATATTATTACTTTTAAGGTTCCCTCTTTTTCTTTTATTAGTCTTATAAAGGCTATAAAGACTATATTACCTACTTTATCCTTTTTAATCTAAAAACCTAAGAAGAAAAAAAGAAAAGTAAATAAAAGTCTAAAAAAGAAGCTAATAAAGAGAATATATTACTTTACTTTTATAAATATTAGTCTTATATAGGTTCCCTATATAAATTATTTACCTTTTATAGATAAAAGGTAGTTAGTTTATTATAAGCTAAAAGGTAGGTCTTTTTACTTTATTTTCTTATTTAAAAGCTAATTAATATAACTTTAAACTTAAACTCTTATCTTTAGTATATAGAGAAAAAGCTTTTTTATCTTTATATCTATA